TCTTTTTAACTTCCTTCAGCCCTTCTCTCCATTGATAAACCTCTTCATCATCTTCACCTTGTTTTGCCTGGAAAGAAAGATTTTAGCTGTGGATTTTCATTACACAGCTTGCAATGTCCCCACAACCTGTGGCAGCCAAGAGATAAAGTTCCCTTTCTACATCCCAGACCAACAAGAATCCTTCTGTGGATACCCTGGATTCGAGCTCTCCTGCCGGAATAACAAAACTCTAATTCTCACCCTTCCGAATAACGATGACTACACAATTCAAGACTACACAAGGCAAGACTACACAATTCAAGAGATCTTCTATCAGAACCAATCTCTTCGTGTGTCGAATTCAATAGTTTTAGATGCAGAGAAAAGTTATTGCATTCCTCCAATCAAAAACATTTCAATTCCTTATGACAGGTTCAAGCTGGCCTCAAACCAGAGGAAACTGTTTTTGCTTTCTGGATGTAACTTGACTGATGCCGAGGAATTCTCACAACATAAGGTGAATTGTTCTGGGCAAAATATGGATAATTCTGTTCTGGCTCTGTTTGGGGACGACCCTGTTCTGGGAAATGCCTCAGAGAAGTGTCGGGAAGCGGTGGTGGCACCAGTGGATGTGGGCGAAGAAGGTGGTGTTGAGAATATGCTGAGGAGAGGGTTTGTGATGGAATGGGTGGCAAGTAATTGCAGCTTCTGCGAGGCCAGCGGTGGGATATGTGGGTTCGATAAGAGCACGTACCATTTCAATTGTTTATGCCCTGATAGGCCTCATGCTTGGCACTGTGTTCCAAAAGGTACGCGTGCTCCCTCTTTCTTTCTTAATCTTAGACTGCAAAAAGCTTCATGCAATGGAGAACCAGAATTTTCTGGTTTCCATGGAGGATGCCTACTCCCGCCCCGCCACCACCAGGCTGTAGGCCGTGTGTGTGTGTGGCCTGTCGGGGGTCACTTTACCGTCGGGTAATTTTGTCCACTCACTCTTCAAGCGGGCCAGGTGAGTTGCTCAGAATGATCAATTTTTGTCTCCTTTCACTTCATTTACCTGAGTCAGTGCTAATTTTCTCTTAAAACCATAATTTTAAGGTACTTCTTTAAATTTAAGCAATAACTTAAGTACTATCTTCTTTACCCTAGAGTTTTTAGGTACAACAATTTAAAGTTAACAATTAATAATTTTATATAAGTAAATAAATAAAATTATTTGAATTAATAATAATAATTATTAATTATTAAATTAAATATAATTATTAATTATTCATTTTAAATTATTATATTAGATAATACTTTTAAAAAAAAAACTTTAATTAGGATTTGATTTTTTTACGTGTAAGACGTTTTGATAACTTTGACACGCACAAGTATTGCGCGTCTTTGTTATGTACAAGTAAAACTCTCGTCCTCTCTCGACCGTACTTTTCTTCCATGCGGGGATTCCCCATCGTTCTCATATCTACATGCTAATCCTCTTTAGGGATGTCAATGGGATCTGACGAGATTGGGGAGTCTTTCTCTGTCTTCATTTTTGCCTTTTTGTCTTTATCCTTGCGAGGACGAGAATCCTATAGGGATTTTTTACGGAGTCAGATTCTGTTTTTCATTTTCATTTTTTTTGTTAGTTAATATTAAACTATAAATTTTTTAAATTTAATTAATTAATATTTAATTATAATAAATATAATTTTAAAAATTTAA